CCCAACCCCCCCCCCCCCCGCCCCACCCCTTTTTAATTACAAAAAAATTTAAAAACATCACTGTTTGTAACCCTGGATGATGCAACAGTTTTATGTTGCGTTATCCTGATTCCTTCCAACTTTTCACAGAAAAAAATGCTTTTCCCATCATTAACATTTTTTTTTAAAATATGCCGACCTGCAAATTAAATGCAGGTAGTCATAAAAAATATCTACAACATTCCTTCTCTTTTCTCACCCCAGGACTAAACGATACAAGTGATAAACACTGACTAGGAAATTTGATAATATTCACCTATTTTGTTGTACATGAGTGTTCACTATAGTTCTTGTCATACCTTTTCATCTCACGAGAATAACAAAACTGTTTTGAGGATTGCTTGAATAGAAAAATGATGATTTAAAAGAGAAAAAAAAAAGGAATTGGTACATAGTTAAGGAGCCATTACTAAAATTAAATTAGTTAATAATTTCTAGTCATTTAGAAAGTACTTATAATATGTATGTCATCTAACTCATTGACAGGTCAAATTAAATTTACGGTGAAATATCACGTACTCAGTTTTAATTTTTCAAAGATTAGCAAATAAAAATGAATCTTAAAAATTTTTTTCCAATATGATTTTAGTTCTAGCCTTTAAACAAAAAAAAAAACCAATAAAATATACTAGTGTGCATTCTTCACAATTCTCCTTTTTCAAAACTCACACGTCTCCTTTTTCAAAACAGTTTTAAGAAAAAAAATTATACCACTACCACACATATAAAATTCCTCCATTAGTTGCATTCCCCCATTAGTTGCATTCCCCCATTACAGTTAAATGTCCATACAAACTTTAGGATATATAAAAAAAAATTAGACGTAGAAAACCAATTTTGAAGCTTAACAAAATGGGAAATCACAGCATTTGTGATTTCTTCTTGCCTTCTTTAAAATTGTATGATCATCATAATCAGGAGAGATTTGAGATACAATAAAATAACATAATTTAATAAGCTCAAGATTTATGGTCATGGTCAATAAGATTATTCAAATTTTTTTTCAGCTTCAAGAGTTCATTTTTAAAATGAGTCTAAAAAATTTGGATTGTCGATAAAAATTGTGAACATTTTAAATCTGTGTCCATAAATATTATTCTTTTTGACTAGGCAACCCTGTCAACTTTTCAAGCAGTAATATTTCTTTTTTTGTTAAATCATGGCAGAGCAAAGCCTCCCAAGAGACCAACAAGGTTTTTTTTTTTTTTAACATGAATCTCTCATAAGTATCATCCAATGTGCTGTCATGGAGTTCAACTCTATACACTATTCATCTTTCAAAATAATTAATGATGAATAGTAATGTGTGGTCAACTTTGTAAAAATTTGGCAATGTATTTTAAAAACACACACTCACGGCGAGACAAGATATTGAGGCTAATTTTACAACAATTAGACACATTTTACGAGTTTTCTGTTCATTCAGTACAAAATAAAAATAAAGACACCCTGGAAGATGTACATTTGCGTTTAAGAAATAAAAAAATGTATGACTTAGATCAGGCCATGGAATAATCAAATTCAGAGTCGAATAAATGAGGGTGTATTTTGATCATATTTTTCATCTGGAGAAAAGATTGAATGACTTAGACCCTGACTCTGAAATTAATTTACCTTTCCAACTCTGAAAGAGCACTGAAGATTACATATGCAAAAGGTTAGTCGATACATTAAATTCACAACATTTTGAACTCCCCCTGCAAATCCAGTTTAATTATTTAATCACAAAATTAGAACTGTTAAAAAAAAATATATTGCCACATCCCATGCTCATTGTATACTGACAAAAAATTAGTCAAAACACTTAAATTAATAATGACAAATCGAATAAATGGCCATTAATTGATCAGGACTCAATATAACATTACAACAAGACAAAGGACTGAGTAGTGCTGATTAAGCAAGTCAATCTTATGTAGTTTAAAAATCTCAATGATTAAGTTAACAAATAAACCCGTAAAAATCACTCTCTAATATTTGAATATAGAGGTGAAGAGGGGGAAAAAAACAGGCAATTTAAGAAAATGGACGTTTAAGCATGTATAAATGATCAAATAACAAAACCAGGAAATGGTCATCAGCTTACTACACAACTGGCAAAGTCATTCAAGAAATTTCATGATAACAAACTCATTACAGCTGTAGATAAATAATTAGGGAACTTTCAGGTACAAGTGGTTAAAAATAGGTAGCTTTGATCTCCATAATTCAAATGTATAACTTAAAAACTAAATATTAATGTTTAATTTTTCTATCACCGAAATGATCATTATTAAAAGAATTAAAATTTAGCAGCTTACGAAGTAACATTATATGTACAGGGCTTGTAACTGTCAGAATAGCCACAATGTCTGCAATAAATTAAAAAATTGTAAGAGCTAGAATTCTGTTAAGACTTTATAAAACCCCTGCTTTGATTAAGTCCATAAGGTCGTGATCACTGCTGTCAAGTAAGTTAAGAGTAACAAAGTTTTGTATACACAAATGTAGGAATGCATCTAGTAGACGCAAAAATAAGACATAAAAATTGATAATTTTGTTTAAAAAAAGTTTGTCAATTAAAAATTTTTTTATAGCCCCAAAATAGATCTGAAGTAAATTGACAAGTTATTTTGTCAATTTTAAAAAATGTGGAACCAAAAGCATAGTTTTATAAATATGTGTAGCAACTGCCTAAGTCTTAGGTTGACCTAAATTCAAACATTAAAAAAAAAAACTGGCTCTATCTCTTAGAGATTTTCTATTCTTTGATAACAGTTCATGAGATGTTAAGTGACATTTTTTTAACCTTATGGATGCAAAAAAATTTTAAAATGCTCTATTCAGAGCTTGAAATTTTTAAGTCTGAATATTTTGATGAGCACATCTTTATAACAGTGGTTAATGCATCATGGCATGTTCCTATGCACCTCTCTCATAAAACTTACTTAAGTTTAACCCTCTTGAGACTGAGCCTGTTTACACAGTCGGTGCCAATAAGACAGCGCTCTTTTCAAAAGTTCTGCAGTTACTTTGTAAAGAAAATTATAAAAAATAAACTAATTACTCTACAAATATAAAACTATTGTAACTAAAATCTCAACACTTATGCAAATGAGATATCCTGATTTGCATAACTTATACATGCAAGTCTTTTTGCATTTAGAATAAACATGTCTTCAGAAGAATTTTGTTAAATTTAATGATTGTTGAATTCTAAATAAGTCCTAACAAACATTTGAATAAGATTCAATGTAAAATACTGCATAAAATATTACCCTGCAGCTGCTTATGCCTTTATGTATTTCAAGGTAAAATATTAGTAAGCACGTACAGTGGATGCTAGGTAAAAAAAAATTATTATAAAATGACAGAACACTGAAAAAGATAAATGGAAGCCCCCATTGAAATGGCAATAGGAGCAAGAAATGCAAGAAGCTATCTGTTTAAATAATAAAAAGACGAGCCAGCCAATCTCAAGGCTTGTAATATTGGGCAGATCTTTTTCCCCATTCAACTCTGGGTCAATAAATCGGCCCAGCTGCATCAAGAGGGTTAAAATGACCAGTGAGAAAACAGTTCCTTAAAACATGATTTGTCATGCTAGTTATGAAAAGGAGATTAAATGTAAGACTATCAGTGGAATATAGAACCCACGCACAGGGAATTTAAATGTATGATTCCTAATGAAAAATAAGTACAATTTTGGCTGAAACATAAAGAAATATTTCCATAGCAATTAAATACCCTACGTTTTCACCTTTTAAACTGAACCGTTGCAGTGTGGAAAGATCTTAAAATTAATAGAGATTCTGTAGGAACCAGTTTGCATGTATGACTAATAATAAAAAAATTGGGCATTAATTTTTAATTATTTTTTTTACCTTGGGATGAAATAAAATTCATTCTCATTTTATGTTCATTTTCTGCTTAATACTTTTACAGCTTATTAATCTGCTTATAAAAAAAGCATAATTTTGCCATGCTATTTTGGCCACCCCCAATGTACGGATTTAAAAAAATGAACGTCTGATCCTTGATAAGTGCATCAATGTCACTCATTTTCATGATTATTTTAGTGCTCTAATAAAATTTAAAAAATGCTTTAAGATAAAAAATTATAATTTGGTACAGTATGTCAGAAATAAATTAATATAGCTCTTTATTTTCTTCCTACATATGTCTGCAATGTCAATAACTTCTATAATCTGCCAACCCTAACATAAAATTTGTACAAGCCATACTTCAAAAAAAAAAAAGTTTGGAAAGCCAGTAAACATAATTATTTTTATCACAATAAATTTACAAAAATGACTAAGCATAGATCTTCTGTATTAAAATATAAAGTAAAAAAACACTTATATTCAATGTAAAGATAAAAATATTTGACAAAAACATTTTAAAAAAGATACAAATTTTGATTATCAAATCATTAATATTAGTATTAATAAATAAAGACGGTAACTTAAGTTCATATGGCAATGATACACATTTATCCATTCATATGTCTTAAAATTAGAATTCGTTGATCTCAGCCGATTACACATATTAACACCCTTCACACAACATCAAAAAGGCTGATGGCTGATACATTTCCAGGAATACTGAAGCAGTAGTAACACAACCTCATTTTGCAAATGTATTTCTTTGCTCAAAACTATTTAACTTTCATGTTTCCTTCATTATCCAGTAAATTTGTTAAAAAGTTTATCCCATTATTTTTCAGTTGCAAGTGAGTAATTTAAAAAAAAATAAAGCCTTCTTCACTGACAACAGCTGCTGTAATGTGTTGCCTGGCAGTATGAGCCGCTTGTAATTATGATTCTGCTGAAGCATTACTTAGTTATCCATTCCAAGAGTTTAAGTAATTTTTCAAGTCAAAGCTAAGAATTCTTTAACACCAGCAACAATCTTTAATAGTTCTGTAGCAATATCTCTTAATTACACATAGCTGGTGGCTTCACTGTTGTCATCACTTATAGCCATCCTGTCATGGCGCATGTCCGACTGATGCACCATCTTGTCTCCCCTGACTTCTCTCCCCATAATGGAGCCTTCAGCTTCATTCTGCTTTGGTGAACCAACACCAGCACTGACTCTGTCTTGAAGATTTTGTTGTGTGAATGTGCCTGTAGAAGCTGACATGGACTGGCGTTTCTTAGGCCGTGCTGCAGTGCGGCTGACAAAAGAGAGTTCATTGCTCAGACCTGACTTACTGCTGGGATGAATCGTCCCAACAGGTTTGTTTGCGCCGCAGGCGGCTTCAGCTGGCCCCTCAGTTTTTACAGTATTTTTAAAGATGCCAAAGTTCACCAAGTGCTGCCCGTCATGGCAGAGATTGTTCCTTTTATGAGTGAAGTCCCCCTCATGAACATCATACCAATCTGATATCCCATTTTGATCCTCAAAATTTAAATCATGACCAAAGCCAGACCTAGCACCTTTCCCTGCCACTACATTGTCTGTGTTACCAGCTGAAGGCCGTGATAAAACTTCTCGTTTTTCATGGATGTTATCTACAGCCGCTGTCAACGACTTGGGTCGTGACTTGTGACGAGAGGGGCTCAGAACATAGCCGAGTCTGTCCCCTGCGACTTGGCGTCTATGTCCCGGCTTTTTTCTGGTGTGTGAATTTATCTCTTGAAATTTGCTTACAGCTAGAGCACTGGTGCCGCACACAGGGAACACTGTGACGCCGCTGTCCGATGGCTTCAGGTGATTCGGTGGCTGATTTAGGTCATTTAAACCCAGCCGAGGCCCAAAGTTGTGATCATGGAAATCCTGATGGTCTTGGTGAACCCAGGGGTCAAGATATGGTGGGAAGAGGGGTTGCTGGAGTGGATGTGGCACTATTGGTGCAAAACTTTCCCCACCACCTCTGTACACGTCTGCGTTGCCGTACATCATTGGTGCATCAGGAGCTGACCGTGTCATCACCTTGTTGACCCCATGAGAATCAGAGAAGCGCACTGGCTGTTTGCAGACCACCGACTGAAGCCTAAATTTTTTATCAATGGGCCTTGACAGTTTCAATTTGCAATCCCTCTCCTCAAATAAATCATCTGGCTTCTTCCTCTCCGTTAAATGCACACGTAAGTGTTTGGGACTGGTATGCTTGGTCTTTGCTAAATGCAAAAGCTGTGGACTGGACGAGTTCCTGTCTTTTGTTCTCTTCTTCTTTTGTTTCTTCAAGCCATCGCCAGACTTTTCAAGTTTTGGGACAGTTTCCGGTGCAGTCCCATTGGCATGACTTTGACCATCATTGTCTTTTAATGTGCCCATGGTGACCGTTTTATTGGAAAGCGAGCTCAAAAAAGGTGTCAGCGGTGGGATGTTGACAGACTGACTCATCCTGACCTCCTCGTACACCGGTGGCAGATCTTTCTGTAGCAGAGATTTATCAGTCTGCGGCGTGTTTAGGTTATAATTTTTCTCCTCGTCGGTGCCAAGAATATCTTTGTTTTCAGCAACTGAAACATCTACCAATGCTACGCTGGGTGGGACGTAAGGCTGAGGAGGTGGTGGTGGAGATGGTAGAGCAGAGGTGGCAGCTGCAGGCATGTTGAACATCGCAGCTGCGTGCGCTTGCTGCCTCAGTTCGAGGGATGCAGACCTGGTGTAGGGTTCTATTCTGGAAGTTTCACCACTATCTCCGCTGGCACCATCAGCATCAGACTTACTTCTTGCGTGGCTGACGCAGGCTGGGAAATGTTGAAGCTCTGTCTTTGGGCCAGACAATCTCGACATGGGTAAAGTGTGGTACTCGGGGTAGTGCGAATCTGCAGGAAGAATCCTTGAATCATCCTCTGTGCCAGTGGTGCTCTTCAGTTTCTTCTCCCCGGTCTCCGAGCACACTGAGAACATGGAAGCTTGGGAAACAGCAGAAAGTGATCTTCTCATGGCACCAGCGGCCGAGACCACAACTGGTGGGGAGGGGCTGGGGGAGGGGGAGGAAGATGACGTAGATGTAGACTGTTCAAATAAATGCTGTTGAATAGATTCATGACAGCTGGACGGCCTTGATAGGTTTCTAACAGGAAAAGTTGAGAAATATTTTGGAAGCATTTCAGGGGAAGGTACTTTATCAGAATGAGCAGTTGGTCGCAAAGACTCAGAGGTGGCATCACCGTGCGGCTGTGCAGAAATGATGCCCCTCTCTGACATGTGTTCTTGAATGTCTGTGATAGTTGCCGAAGGGTTCGATCTGATGAACGATGCCAAAGATTGCTGAGTTTTAGCATCAGGTGAGCTGAATGACGAGCGTGAGGATAGTCTCTGAGAAGGAGCTGGCTGTACAGCATTGGTTCCAATGGTATCATTGCCAAAGACATTACCTGAACTGTTTGCGCCTTGTGTTCTAGCATGCGGGCTGCTGTAGTTTGATGCGCATTGTCCAGAAAACCCTGATGCGGTAGTTATATTGGCAGCCAAGCTGCTCTGAGTCAAACCATGGTTGCCTTCATTCCAGGTGGCTGATGCTGGAGACGGGATGAGTGACTCTTGATGATTAGGTGGTTGAAGAGGTGGTATTTGTTGACGAAGTTCATGGTGCAGTTGCATCCTCTGACTTGATAGACCATTATCATATGACGTGTAAGCAGCACCCTGGGGGCTGATACTGGTGCTGTTGCTGGACGCGACAGGGGTGGTGGTGCTAGTGCTGGTAGTGTAATGCTGTCGTGAAGGTTCTGTGCTGCTGGAGCTGTTTGAACTACTGGTGCTGGGGCTCAGGGGCCCGAGGGTGTATGCTGCCTGAGCGCTGTCGTAACTCAGGCACATGCGATCTGGAAACCTGCTTCTGTGGGGTCTGGTAGAGTTCCTCTCCCTTGAAATGTCATAAAACTGATGATGGTTGCTCAAAGCGTCGGAAGCGGTTTCATTTCTAGGTACTGTTGCATAGTGGGGTGGAGTGTTATACTCAGAAGATGGTCTACCGTTACGGCGCCTATTTCTAACTTTCCAACTGTCCCTCTTGAAAATATTGGAAAACCTCTGAAAAGCTGTTATGGTGGGCATGGCTTGAACCCTGCATGTGTTGGGATTACCCAACGATCTGGGTCTATCCCGCACCGGTGCTGAGCTTCTGTTCCGGGCAGACTCATTGTGCCTCACTTCCGCGCTGCTCATGGGCACATCTCCCAGCCACATCGTCCATCCATCATTGTAAGGGGAGTAACTCACAAGCTCAGACCCGGGGGATATAACAACACCAAGTCCGTCCACAACATCTGTACTTGCATAAGCCGGCAGGGAATTGGGAGCACGAATGGTTCCACTGGTGGAGCGCTGATGTCTGCTCTCATGTGCCCTGACCTGTGCGTTTGGGTGGAAAGTTACTTCATTATGCATGCACGTTTCACTGCCGCCGCCACCATTTCTTATATTAGTCACAACCTCATGCGCGGTGGTGGCGGCAGGCGGCGCAGGAGGCCCAGTCCTATTGGGGTGATTTTCCCGTGTACTTTCATTTCTGTTCTCACTTGCTGAATTGCCATTGGTGTCACCATTCTGGTTGATCTCTTCATAGGGAGGGGGCTGCTCCCCTGGCATTATTTGCGGAGGTTTTGGTGGGGAGTAGGGTGGTGGAGGGTCTGTGTATGGAGGGCACTCCACAGAAATATAGGCATCAGGTATATACGGTTCACTATCAGTGTCCTCACTGTGTACCTGCCTGGCACGAGCCTCGAACCCTGAAAATGACAGGTAAACGGAAACGTATAAATAAATTTTATGAAAACAGAACAATGAATAAAACAGATGCTTTAACTTTGAAATCAAATTTAATGAATTTATTTTAAATCAGCCTAAAATTATATCATTTCCAATTCAGCAACACCCCAAAGTGATCAACTAACTTATATCGCCCAATCCGATGTTGGAAAAATTAACATTGTAGACTCACTTCTCATGGCCAACAACAGACGTCTCTGCCTCAGACGATGCACCATGAACAGCAACAAGGCAAGTACAAGAAATGATGTAACAGTCGAGGCTATAAGTCGCAGCGATAAATTTGTTATGCTTTCCCCTTCATCTGTAGACAAGATGTGAGATTGGGTTAACAACATATTTCAAATGAGGAAAGAAATAAGGCTCATTTTAGTATGTATATAATATTCAGCAAAGTGAACAATCCAAGATTAAGTAGGAAGTAAATTTTCATTTTTTCCAACTTAAAAGCAGCCGTTTCCCTCAAGTTTCAAGCAAGATCAGTCATACTATGGACCAGTCATACTATCGATCAGTCAAACGATATATTAGGATTTTTTTCAAACCTTTGTTTCCTTACAAATAAGTTTTATTGGACTAATAGTGCCTCTGTCAACTGACCCATAAATCAAGTTAGATAGTTTTATTGGTAAATTTGGTATTGGATTAGGATCTTTTGATTTAATGAATAATCTGACCTTTCTTGTTGTTGCTTCCATTATCTGTGGCATTTTCCCCAGTTGAGACACCATCATTGATGCAAACATATTCACAGCATGCTCCCTTCACCAACTCTGGTTTTGCACAGCTTTGAGGGGGTGAACAGGCGACTGCCACACACCTAATTGGAAAATGTTTTTCACAGATGCACTGGGTGCACATGTCAGACTTATGAGGAACATATTTTTCATTGACGGATACAAACTTTCCTTGCCAGTCGTAGCACCCTGTACTCTTGGAGTCATCTGAAGTAAGAAATATAAAAGTAGGATGCATATAAAAGGATTAATTCTGCTTCGATGTTTACCCCCAGGTTAAATATTTAATTTCAATCAATATTGCGTGCATCATGGTAAAGTAGCTGATAATTTAATAAGTGTAAGGGAGAAAATAAATTGAAAGGCAGCCCGTGTATATTTTAAATTCCTATTGTGACGGTGTTGAACTGCAGCTTCAAAATTTAATGCGACATTTAATTGTATAGAAACAAAGAATCGCATTTTTTTTATTTTAACATTTTAAGTAACACTATAATATAAGCTTCATTTTTCATAAAATACCTGCAACAACTCCTTGGTCATTAGGCATGACGGCCGACACATCGGGACTGTCCAACAAAACAGAGCCTATTGTGATGTTAGCCTCATCATCAGATTTTTCTATCAATGACAGAGCTCCAGAGTCACATGACAAAATTGTTACCAGTAAGAGTATCATGACAATAAACCCGGCCATGATCAAACAACTGTTGTTTCAATAATGAAATTAGACTAATAATGAAATGTGGGTGCACATTCAACTTTTGGTATTTATTTGGACCAGAAATTTTGTTAAACTAATCTTAACTTGCAATGTGAAAACAGACTGGCATCAAATGATTTCTACTGACTCTACTGACGGCATTTACAGTCTATGTTTAAATCCTGTCTCAACATTAGAAAGTTAATGATGCAGTAACCAATGAAATAATCTTCAATGGCAACAAATTCCCCAAAATTGTCCTTTTCCCACTTGAACATTGATGTCATGGGTCTGGAATGCTCTGCTTATTGTGATTGTAATGGATCTTGCTGTCTTTCCCCCATACTTTTCACAACTGGACTTGCTGATTACTTCTGTGCTCAAAGAATCAGAAAAAATGTGAATAATCAGTTATATTTAGAATAAAGCATTAATTTTAAAAGAAATATTGGCATCATAAACACAATTTTCCATTGTTTAAGCTACAAATATATAATGGAAGTTGGGAGCAGTGACAGAAAGGAGTCAACTTATTATCAAGTGTCAAATTCAGTCAATTGCTATTTTAAAATAACAACTAGGTATACAATAAAATTCATAACTTAATGAGCCCAACAGCCTATGCAGACTAAAAATAAAATGAACTATTTTAAGGTGGATGCTAATCATTTGTATCTTTACAACTAAGACCTTACTGTGCCTTAAGCTTTCAGTACTAACTAAAATAGTAATCAAAACGGACTACAAACTCTATTAGTTATCATGACTCTAGCCTAGGCAGGGTTCATACAGACGGCATTCAAGGTCAAGACTTCACAAACTTTTCTTGGTTGGTTTGTATTCTCCATCCATGTTAATCCTTTGTTGTTTCATACATTTACCAGAGAACTTTTCTCTCCCATGTTTCCAATAGGTTTTCTGCTGTTTTTGTTAGGATCCAAGTTTCACTTGTGTATGTTACAACTAGTCTAATTACAGTTTTATATATAACTTTCTTTGGTTTTATTTACTTTTTGAAATGTTTTAACTTTTGGGTATTTTCTGACTACTGAAGAATGCCTTTTTTTTTTTCATTTTATTTCTGTCATTAATTAATTTCTAAAGAACCTTAGATATTTGAATTGATTTACTTTTTTAAAAGTGTGGTTCCAAGTTTTAATAGTTTCATCTGTCTGTTCTTCTCTATACATAGTCATGTAATTAGTTGCTTGGTTGTTAACTTGAAGCCCTGCTTGTAGAGATGCATCTTCTAATTCAATAAAGGCTTTTGATATGTCTTTACTACTTTGCCCTAACAGTGCTATGACATCAGCATATGCAAGATACTGAAGTGGCTGGTTGTGTAGAGTGCCTGTTGGTTTTGAGTCTTGGGTTTTCCCCTGAAAGTATCATGACATTGTTCCTCTGGTGTTAATATGTATATTTTTTTTCACTCTCTCTAAAGTTCAATCCCCACCAAAGCACAGTCAAGCACAAACATCATCAACTCCCAAGGTGAATGGGACTCGTTAACCTTGGATGGCAACTCATCTAAGAGAAGGAAACTCTGAATACAAAACCCGGAAATGGAGTCCCGTAGGCAGATAACATTGGCACAATGAAACATTCGGACAACATACACATCATGTTTCCTTGGGTTTTCCAATGGCGTGGTGCGAGACGACTTGCTGTGTAAGGAACCAGCTTATAATCCTAAAAAGAATAATCCCAGGCCTTGTAGACTTTGTCTCCACCATCGTCAGATTGTGACGGACAGATGCCAGCAATGTTAAATCGCATACAAGACAGCAAGTCTCCTTGTCTAATCTGATACCATTGAATATACTCCCTGAAACTTGATTTTCTTTTTGAGTTGTTTAATGTATCAGTCTTATCAGTTTTTTGGAAGTGCAAAACTCCTGCAGAGTCTCATATAGATATTTTCTTTAAACGCTGTCATTGGCCATTTTATAGTCCACATAGAGTTGATATACTGGGATATTATATTTGTAGCATTTCTCTAATACTAATATGCATCTAATGGTGAAAATCTGAACAGTTGTTGATCTGTTTTGTCTGTATCCACATTGGTAATCACCTAGCATTTGTTCAGAGTACAGGCGTAGTCTTTCGGCAATTAGTTTTGTCAGTATTTTCTATGTAACATTTATTAGGGAAATTCATCTGTATTTTGTGTATTGAAGTTTGGAACTTTTCTTGTGTATTTGGTTTTTTTTAGTGCTGTTACCCATTTTGTTGGCATTTTCTCTTTTGGTCAAATTTTAGTTATAAGTTTATGTGTCTGAGTGTGAAGTTCCTTCTTCCATATTTAAAAAGTTCTGCTGTTATGAGGTCTTCTCCAAGGGCTTTGTGGTCTTTCATACAATTGATCACTTCTGTAGTCTTTTCCAAAGTTGGGGAGTTTATCAAAATTAAAGGGCCTGGTCCTCCATGTGGGGGTTGATAATCTTCTTCTTGTCTATTGTCTGCAATTAGTATGCCCTCAAAATATTCAGCCCACATCTCCAGTACTTTACTATCTTCAATAATTAATTTTCCATCATTGCTCTCACACATTTGAGGTCTGGCAAAGTATCTATTCTTTTGGTCTTTTATCTTCATGTACATTCCTCTAATGTTTCCTTATCTTGATAAGTCGTCTATTTCTCTTAGTTTAGCATTCCCTTTTTTTCTTCCTAAACATTTTTGTGGCTTTTCTTCAGGGTTCATTTTATATTTGTCTTGTCTTTCTGGTTTCCCTATGTATCACAGTCATTGTTGCCTTGTTCCTTTCTACTACAGTCTCTCTGCATTCAATACCAAACTAGCCTACTCACTGATGGTTGCTGAAATCCTACTACTTTCACTGATGATCTTTTCATAACAAGTTTTATTGTATCCCACTGTTCATTAATGTTGTTTTCCTTGTTTATTTCCTCCTGTGATGTTTCTACCTGTGTTTCTACTTCATTGTGGTAAGCTTTTGCAGTTAGTGGGTCTTTCATAAGTTTTAGGAAATGTTATAATTTTCCTCTTTCAATTCGGCCATTGTGAACTGTGCTTATTCTCTGCTCATACAAGTAGATGGACATAGTCTGCATCTGCTCCTCAATAGCTTCTTACTTCTATTATGTCTGATCCATACCTCCAATTAATTAGAACATGGTCAATTTGGTTGTTAGTGATGCCATCTGGTGAGTTTCAAGTAACTTTATGTATATTATTGTGTGGAAACTTGATGCTGCTGACTGTCATCCCTTCTCCTGAAACAAAGTTCGTGAGTCGGATCCCATTGTCATTGGATTCTTCATGTAGACTCTCCTTGCCAAAAGTTGGCATAATCACTTTTTCTTTCCCTATTTTGTCATTAAAGCAGCCAATCACTATTTTAATAGCATGTCATGGTGTCTGATAGATCTTTTCCAGTGTCTCATAAAAGAATTATTTTATCTGACCTTTTGTTCTTCGATGGGAGGATGAACATTTATAAATGTTATATTAAAATTTTTCCTTACACATGCAAAAAACACAATCTTTCATTCTCTGGTTTAAAACGTATGTCTACACCAACTGCTTTCTTTTTTCACAGCAAATCCTGTTCCAAGAGTGTTACTGTTGTAGCCACAATAAAAAATAGTGTAGTCTTTTGCCTTGAGGATGTCTGCATTTTTCCATTGAATTTCTTGCAATGCAGCTATAGAGATTTAATATTTAATTAGTTGATCTATTAGATTGGCCAAGGCTCCTGCTCTAAACAAGCTTAGTACCTTCCAAGTGGCAATCTAAAAATCATGTCCATATCCAGGGATAGGTCAATTTCCCTTAGAATCAGTCAGAGTTTTATTTTTTTGCTTTTGTTTATTTTTTTTTACATGTTAGGGTTGTTAGCCCTGTGCACAACTGTCTGGGGGCTGCCCCTTACTGCTCTCTAGGTAGCTGCCTTAATTTTGGGGTAAGGTTACTTAGTCTTTGTGGATCCCTCAGTGGGGCAGTGGGTTCTGATTTTGGTCCACCCCTGGTATTTTATTTACCCAGTACCCCACCATATCTTGTGGGCTTTCCCCTATCCACCACCTGGGGAGAAGCTCAAAGGAAGATCAGTTTCTACCCACAAAGCCACCCACTACCACGGAATTAAAAATAACAACTCTTCAGTGGGCCAAAAATACTGCCCCTCCATATAAAGAAAATAGTGCCGCACAGGGTAGACCGTCCCCTCCCCAGCCCCCTTCCTCTGCAAGTAGAAATACTTTTTTTAACAGTTGTTAATTAAATCATAGTTGGCAAATAAGGGGTTTAAGTGGTTGGTTAGCTCTAATGTAATAGAAGGGAATTAACTGGTTAGCTGACACCTAAGTTGACTTCAATTCGCCCTGAGCAAAATGAGAGACAGTGTCAGTAGTGATTGTTATAATTAGATGGACTCATTTTTCTTTATCAGAAATCTGTTTGTTTTTGCTCTCACTTCCCTATGGTTGTATGTTTCATTATTTGCCCATTTTTTACTCTTTGTAAATCACCAACAATAAATTGACAATGAAATCTTCACACATTTTTGACAAACATTGTGCCACATGAACCCCAATGAAAAAAAAATGTGTAAATAAAATAATACATAAAAAATAATTTATTCCATCAATGATTCATCAATGAATGTAGAACAGTGCGAAAGAAAATGGCACACTGGATGAAGCCAGAAACTTTAGACCCTACAATATAAAAAATACGCCCCCTGATAATGATGCCCTGGGCGATTACCACCTTCGCACAGCCCTGCATGGATGCACCCCTCCCCCCCCAAAGTTTCCAAGATATCTAGCATATGAGAGACTTAAATATTTAAACTTGTCAAACCGTCACAACCCATCACTGATCACTGGTTTAGAAAGAAACAGTGGACACCTAGACATAATTAAAGTAATAACAAAATCAAAACATTGTTTATTTAAATCAAGATACAGCCAATAGGGCTAAAACAAAAATCTTATCTTTTAAGTTTGAAGATTTGAAGATAGAAGAGTTATCTTTACTTTACAACAAACCAACAAAGGCGCCATCAATTTGGATCAAATGACAAAAGAACCATGAAATGAAATGTTACATTTTTTATCTCTTACAATTTGCTTAACACTTTCGCTTCAGAATTTTTTTATCGGAAAAATGTACATTTTTTTTGAAGAGCGGAAAAAGAGTGAGAGGTTGGATTTATTAAAATTTTTAAAATATTATTCTTTGGTTTATATTCTAAACTTAGTATCAAATGAAAGGTAATTGAAAGGACTATATGTTTGTACACTTTTTTCTTCACTTTAAATAAAATTAAGTTACAGAAAAGAACCATAAAATGTAAAAAAACATTTTATGCTAAACCATTTTTCCCCAATCCCTATGATGTACGCATACCTCATCTTCACTTCTATAACTCAATTCCTCTAAGACTACTACTATCGGAATCATGCGATGCATCTAAATATAGATCATCTTCACTATCAAAAGAAATAGTATAAAAAAATTCCAATGCTTTTTAACTGTTAATCGTGTAGGAAACTTACCTACTAGGGCAGCCATAGCAACAGTAGGAAAAAAAAACGCGAAGAAAATCGTCAAAATAATGGAATGGTTCAAATGACAACAAATAAACCTTGGTTTTGTTTGTAAACAATGAAGTACCACTCTTCTATGTAATAGAACAATATGAGTTAGCTTTAATAATAATTGTACATTATACAGAATTAAACGTTTCGGCACATGCCTTCATCAGTACAAACAAACACAACACATGTCCCTATGTGATCGAAACTGATACGATCACTTTCCCTCTGGGAGTATTCAGAATAAAAGATGGCTTTACCTGCACAAGTCGCAACGTGATTTACACCATCATTTGCAAAAAGTGCGGTAAACTATACATAGGAGAGACAGGTCGTCGCCTTGGGGACCGTTTCAGAGAGCACCTCTATAACATAAATAAACACGCTCTCTGTCCGGTCTCCAAACATTTCAATAGCCCTAACCATAATGGTATCTCAGATATTGTAGTTACTGGTATACTCTATACTAGTAACACTGCAGATAGAATCTATATGGAGAACAAATTAATAACTAGATTTGGTACGTTGTCTCCATATGGATTGAACCAAATCCATAGTTTTACTTAGCTGCCATGTCTTTTTCCTGTTTGGTTTTTCCAATTATGTTTGAATCACTTCCTTTCTACATCTCTTTACTTTGTTTTTGTCAGGTTTAAGCGCCCTCTCCTATATATTTTTTCTGTTTTAGGTAGGATATATATATTGACATTATGTAAATTTAATTTATACTTATTTAAATGTGTTGTGTTTGTTTGTACTGATGAAGGCATGTGCCGAAACGTTTAATTCTGTATAATGTACAATTATTATTAAAGCTAACTCATATTGTTCTATTGACACAATTTGTTCGTGTCTTATTAATATATTTTAAAGCTTTATTGCAGTCCAACACTTTCTATGTAATAGTCTTATTTAAAAATAGCTCTTAAAAAGTTTAACCCAGATATAGCAAAGAAACAAACATGATATTAAAACAACGCACAGCGCGTTGGTCCGTGCTTTTGAGAACGGCGGAAGAACGCAGTGAGCGTTGTTCCGCATCGAAAGAGTTAATGGTTGCATTGTTGAATTTGAAAAAAAAGACATCATTTTACTTTAAAATAATTTCAATACTGAACCGAAATAAGTAAATTATATTAATATTATTTATTAAGTTAATTGTGGAATTTATCACACTAAAATAACTAAATAAGCCTTAACCTAACACTTTGAGTGTTGACAGAAGGGATTAGCCCATGATTACCCAGAGTTTTATACAGTATGGTTTTGTATATAGATAATGACAATATTATATCAACGAAACAGACAAGAATCTTTTAAATTTCAATTTGGTCACTCTGACTCTGGGTGGTAAAGATTAACAATAACAATGATTAAAATTGATTAGAATAAAAAAAATTCTTTCGACTTTCATTGTGAAGAAAATTTACCTGATCAATCATTTCTGACAGTATGCCTGACAAAAGGAACTGAATTGTAACTTTTAAAGCATGAACTAAACCTGTTCCCTGAATCATTTTTCCCTCTCAGAATAAAATGAATCTAATTTCTTTTACTCTGCATTCAATAAATAGGCAGAGACTTAATTATCGATCACCTGCCATTTTGTTGGCTGAGATCTCGCGGAACTCTACGAGAATGCAACTTCTTTAAAAAAAAATAATAAATTGTTTGTACTTTCATTTTCTCTGAGTTCAAAGTTCAAATAGGCAGCCATCGACTCACTTTCCATAAGCACTGTCTAGTAGTGTTGTGTGTAGTTTAATATAATATGCTTAAGTAAAATTTGTTACATCTGAAAACTAATTATCAAACAAAATGGGGAACCCGAAAGAAAGCAAAGGGAACGACAGTATTCTAAGTAAAGCTTTGCAGCAGTATATCAGATTGTTACAAGAGCGACCAGTTATTACAAAATCAGTAACCAAGTAAGTTTAGTTAACTAAATTGAAAGTAAAAAGCTTAAAAGTCATGATTCATATTCATAACATTAATTATGATTAATTAATGGTTAGTTACAACTTGCAGTTCAGTTCAGTAGTAATTAGTAATAGTATTACTACTAGGCATAGTAATATTAGGCCTAGGAGTAGAATTAGTAGTAGTGCCATCAATGTTCCCTAAGCCTAAGGCTAAGGTTTGTTGGTTCCCGAGTTCCTGTGCTAAATCATAATAATCATACATGTGCTAAGTAAAAGTTTTACATTACAGCATCAATTTTTGTGTGCAGAATTTTACAACCCACAAACACACATTTACATGGAAATTTGCTGCACTGATACTCAAAACTGCTGCACGGCGTCTGTGAGATAGCTGCGCAGCCTCGCAGCTTAAACGGAACATTGGTGCCAATGCTATTTTAAATATTTTAATGAATTAAAATGAGTAGTTACAATTACAAGCATTGCAATATCTTTTACTTTTACTACTAAACTACCTAAATACTTAAGTAAGAGTAAACATGGACTATATGCTAGCTACTCAGTATACGCACCATGACGTTTCACATGGCCGCCACCTTGGTTGCTAAGGCCATAAAAGGTCAGGGATCATGGCAACCAAGGTGGCGGCTGTGTTAAAAAAACCTCATATCTGCTAAAATGGGGAGAGAAAGGGAAAAGTAGTCAGTAAATCAATGCAGACTCATTTTCCAAAATGCCAGAAAATTTAAATATTATATTTAACCAACCAATGAATTTGAATTTAAAACATTCCAATTGTCTTGTTAAAGAAAAGTTAACTCTTGTAACAACAACACAAGAGGAAGTGAATTCAACGCAGAAATTTAACATAAACACATAAGTATGTCATGCACAAATTTTCTTTTTTAGCCATAGAGTTAAGGGATCATCAGATTCCTAAACTAGGATGTAGCCTTATAAATTTAAAGAATATTCAATTATTTAATGGTCCCTTTTAAGCCTATCTAAACTTTATTTATTAACAGTAATTTTGGTAATCTACCACTTCAGCGTCCTTATTAAAAAATCGTGTTGTTCCGATTTAAAGAACTGTTTAAACGGTTATTCTTTTATTGAAGTCCGTTAAAAGTCTCGTTTTTCGGTGGTATAGAAAGTAAAAAAAGATAGCATGGGCGCTTCTTTGAAATTCCAGACCTACGTGCAATCACATTACAGGAGTGCATAGAGAGTTATACCTTTACATTTACATGCTCACGTATTGTATGGGACTTATAGGTGGCTTATGCCAACATAAACCAGATCATTTATGGAATCTACTAATGCTCTATCGTGGTCCATCAAAAAAAATTTTGTCAATCTAAATGACAGTGTTGTCCACATGGAATATTTGAAAATATGTGGATGTGCGCAAAATCCAAACTAAAAAGTTTGCTTTGTATTTTGGTGTGCTCTTGTTCCACAATCATTTTCTAGGAGATGATATAAACTTAAACTCTGTTTTCTTTCCATACATTAAATTGTTTAAATTTTTATATTTTAAAATTTATTAATTTGTTTAAAAAATTTTCTATTTTTAAAATTTTGTCTTTTATATTTATGCTGAAATGAATATGTGCAATCTCATAAAAAACATTTCACCCCATTTAATTGGATAGATGAAAGAATTTTATCTTATCACTAAAAGAATAACCATTTAAATAACACTTTAAACTGGAACAACACTATTTTTTTAATAACCGACACTCGAGTGTTAAATTGCCATTTTATTTACTTAGGGCAAAAGCCCTGTTGGGGTTAGTAGTATAAATCAATTCATTAATAAGCTGCTGCATTTTTTAATTACTAAAATTTAACTTACCTGTACTCTACTGCAGTTTGAACTTAGTAGATCTTTAATGACTTTTTTCTCCTACTCGAGTCTTTTCAAATTGTAAAACTTAATTCTCCCTGTCTCTTTTTCTCTCCCTTGTTCAGTTTATGTATTATGGTAATTTTAAAAAAAAGTTATGCTGGTGCAGCTGTGACAGGCATAAGTCAGATGTTCCACCATTAAACTTCAAAGAACAATATTAATCATTGACATGTTATTTCATTATGCCACACTTTTATTCCTTCTTGGCCATTATTCATTCTAGTATAAATATAATCTAGTAATATGTTCGTTACTTACACTTACAATGAGAATTTTGTTTTACTGAGTACTGAGTAAGGGACCATACATAAATGATGTCCTGCTACTTTGGATGATTTTTCAATTTTTATCATACATTGTCACAAATGCATGACCTCCTTTCCTCCCCACCCAGACATATTATGTCATTTATGGATGGTTCCCCAAGACATGAAAATCCTTTTAAGAGATTTTTTTTTTTTCATTTTACCTGTAAAGTGACACGGGACTTAAAAAAACGTTACAATTTAATTAATAAATAATATTAGCCTATTAAACTGACATTTTGCATGAAACCTGCTGTTCACTTGAGCAACCAATAGTATTTTAATTGAACCTTTTGAGTGCCAATGAAATTTCATAGAATTTAAATAAATATGTTTACTTTTGGTGTTTAGTAAAATAAATATTTTTTTATATGGCTGCACACTTCGCATACAAAAACATAATAAATGTCAAATAAATAAAGTATATTTAACATAATCACTAACTTAATAAAGCCTAACTGAAAAAAAAATGAAAGTGTTCCCAACTTTACCTTAATATGATTTCATTTCACATAGTTAAAAATTGTGCCACTCAGTTATCTTCAGTTGTCATTCTCTCTACAACTTCAAGCATCTAATTACCTATTTATTTTTTTTTTTAAATATTCATTAAGACACAAGGCATGGTCATTTTGCTTTGATAAGATGTGGTCACATTTAATAATAATTTAATGTGATATCACTCACTGTATTTTAAATAAAATTAAGTGTTGCACACCCTGGTTCATTGTAACAGACGATAAGAAAGCTTTTCAGAAGTTTTGTTAAAGATGTGAAGAAAATTTCACAATTAAACTCTGAAACATTTATGCTGCCCCTGTAAATTTTTTGTTGTTTAATCATTTAATAATTTATAACCTTTTTGTTGTTTTTTGTGTGTGTTTTTTCAGTTCAATTGTGTCTGGCTTTGGCAATATAATTTCACAGTATGTGGCACCAGATCCCACCACTGGAGGGAGAATCAATTGGAAAAGTGTATTTGCATACACTTCATTTGGGTAAAATATAGCATTTTTTAATACTATCTATATTGTAAGTTGTAAGTGTCCTAAATATTATTTTAAAAATACAAACCATGGAATGGAGCATTTCATACACCTTTAGGTAATCACCTGGAAGGTGAAATAATTGTACTTCCAAAGCTTGGACTTTGAAGTTTAATATTTTATTTTACCATATATAAAGGACCATATAAGTACAAGAACATATCACCATATATAATGTTATGATATACTCCACAGTTTCTTTATTAATGGACCATTGATACATCACTTTTACGCATTCTTGGAAAAGATGTTTCCAAAGGACAAACCGAATTCAAAATGGAAAAGAGTACTATTTGACAGACTAATTTTTGCACCTCCTTTTCTGCTTGTATTTTTGTATTATGTTTCAATAGTTGAGGTAAAACATTTTATAACATTTTCTACTTAAAATTCTATTCTGCTATGTATTGGCTTTGATTATAATTATATTTGTAAACATTAGGCCATAGTGTAATGTTGAAAAATATAATTATATTATATAAATAATAACAAAATTTTATAAAATTAGCTACCGGTACTTAAACGATGCTGATTGATAATTTTAAGCATGCATACTAACCTATATGGTTTACTCATGCTTTGTAAGGTTTTAAAATGTTTTCGAGTTGTAAGGCCGTACAGGATACTGCATGTTTTTTTCACTGGATTAAAAAAGAATTATTTTTGCATATGACAGTGACGGCACACAATAGAAAATCTTAACTGGCAGTGCATTAAATTGGTCAACAGGAAGCTGAATCCTATTGGTCTCTTCAAAATGACACATGGTCCAAAGTCTGAGACATCTTAATTTAGAAACTGAGCTTTTTTCAGAACACTGTTCGGTGGTAACTACTTTGAGCAGTAAGCCATGATTACAGTTCAGTATTGGTAGTTCTTATTATAACTTCCAATTAACACTTTATATCCACGTTGCACCTCTTGTAAAAAAAAATATTTTTTTAAACTATCCATAAATTGATGGTAAACCTAATAACTTTGTCAAGACAAACAAAATGTATTTCCCTTCATTAATTTAAAACAGGAACCTGTCTAACTACAGCAAGCATAATGTAAAGAGAATATGTCTAATTACATCTAAATTGCTATTAAGTTCATTATCATATGAGTTGCTATTGGTCAGTGTGAAAAATGCAAAATCTTATAAAAATCAGACTTAAAACAAGCTAATTTTATTAAAAATATGCAATCTATCTAGATGTAACCATGATAAAATATGCACTCAGCAAAGGCAAGATTATTCTTGAAAATTAGGCCTATCAATAAGACAAAGTTGGCATGTATTCAAAATCTTGATTACTGTAATTAAAAGGATGCAAAAGTGATATATTATCATTTTAAAACAAAAATGTTACCTTTTCTTCTGTACAGTTTTTGGGGGACTTTAGTATGCTATTTTAATCCAACCAGTTGGCATGTAGGGTTTAAGTGTACAGTTTACTGCCAAATGACATTTTGTGATTCAGAGAAATGCTCAACGCAGAAAGTTGTGATGTTTTCTCTTAATGGAAAACACTGTTGTGATTGTGGTAATTAAGGGTTTTAAAGCAAATTTGTAGTCTTTTAAACCTTTTGCATATCATTAAATACAAAATTACAGGCACAATTGTTTTGTTTTTTTAAATAGGGTCATGGTAGCCAGGGAGCACTCAAGAGAATTAAAGACACCTACTGGATGATACTCAAGCTAAACTTGTCTGTCTGGAGCATTGTTCAGTACATTAACATGAATTATGTCCCTTTGAAGGTAAGAGCCCTTTTTTTTTTTTAATAGTTCAGTTTATTTACTAAAATGGCCAACACAATGGATACTGCTGTCATTAAAACAAATTTAAAAGAAAAATACTTTGTAACATAAATACTGTATAGATAACAATATTTTCCATGCCTTATTTTTTATTTTATCTTTTTTTAAAAAGTGTTATATAGTAGATATATATATAGTTATAATTTATATATATATATATATATATATATATATATATATATATAAAATTTCAGATCCCCATTATTTATTAAATTGAAAACATAATATTAACTCTTAGTGTCGATAGGTCAAATCCACATTTTGACGCAATCATTTTGTTGGGATAAAATTTGACCCTAGGTGATCACAATAATATTTCATAACTTTTCTAATAAAATTGTGATAAAAAATAAATTCATTGCACGTTGAAACTATGAAATGCCATATAGACTGGCTCGCGTCAAAAAACATGACTGGGGGAAAGCCAGTTAGACTGGTGCATCAGACTTTAAGAGTTCATATCGCAGTGTAAATTTTCCTGCCAATTAACTTAGGTACATATATTTTTTATAATTATGGTAATTTTTTGTTTACATTACAGTTTCGCACGCTGTTTGGAAATTTCTGTGCCTTGATCTGGATGATTTTTATTTCCATCAAAAGGAGACAAGCTTTATCTTAAATTTTGTTTGATTTTTATGTGTAAAAACTATAATAAGAAGATTTTGAGTTTCAAATTGCATGTGAAAGGAAAATATTTCAAATTTCAAACAATTTTTTTTAAAAACTGTTTAAGTAGAGCCTTTAAGAAGCATTGCATAAACTGATACAATTATAGATTATAAACAGAAAATGATGCAGATCATTTCATTTTTTACTTGATAAAATGTTCTTTGTTTTATGTTGAAAACAATTGAGATTACTGGTTATATTAACTTATGATCCAGCAAATATCGTAAAGTTTCAATTGTAAGACTGTTACATCAAAACAGAAAGCTTTAATACTTTAATAGGACTTTATTGCAAATGTAACCTTGTAAACAAAGATGTTGAATCACGGCATTGTTAATTTTTTTAACTTAACGTATGTAACTACTGTCAAATTATTGTAACTGTTTTAAAGATTTTATTATAATAATATTTTATTTCATTCATATTTACATGTTAGATTTTTAATTTTGCTTTATTCAGACCTCTTGAAATTGTAAATATACTTGTGTGGCAAATAAATAAAAAATTAACAAAAATGTCACAAGGGAAAAATAAAGGCTATACCATGTTCCATTCCTGCCACAGAAAATAGGCAGCAGATTTTTTAAAAAATCCTTTCTGGAAGAAATGAATCATGTTCCTTCAGAGATATCTGAGGAATTATTTTTGCTAAACTATTAGAAACTTCTGTTGAATTTTGTCTAAATTGTAACCTTAGTTTAAAATCATAACACATAATAGTAACATAGATAGAGTAATTTTATGAGAGTAATAATATTAATTTAAACCCAACATAAAAAATTTTTTTGCAGTCACACCTCAATTGGTAACTTACATTTTTAAAGAAAACTTTAAAATATTCATATTACTGAAATGAATTTCATGATAGGCTAGTAAATGTTTACATTGTTCATTGTTATTGCTTTAATTAATTTCTTTTTTAAACCCTTCCTCTCTCATTTATTATATATTCTGATTTCAAAAATATTTTTAAAATAAAAAGGGGATTGTTACTTGAAGTATTAGTTGAGTTGATTGAGACCAAAACAAAATTTCCTCAATTTATTTTCACCTTCAGTGAGATTTCAAAATATTTTAGAAATCCATTTGATTTAGTAAAGGATTTTATTCTTGAAATCTATGGTACCCAGTATTATTAGTATGTATATATTATGGTACTTGAGAAAAAGTTCAATGCAACTGTGTTCTTTTTAAAGATATTTTTTTTTTTTTAAATTTCTAATTTTATCCTTAAGGTATATTTTATAGATAACAGTTTATTTTAAAACTGTTTAAAAGTTTATTTTAAAACTGTTTAAAAAGTTATCTTTATTAAAACAAACCAATAATTTGTATACCGTTATGTGTTCTTAACATAAAATTGATAGGAAAATAGAGAAAATGGCATGGGTCTTTTAACAGTTTCATATGTGTTTATGATCATGTGTTATTGATGTATTGTAATTAGAATTCAAACTGTTGATGTTAAACAGTTGAAGTCAAATATGACAGATGTATGGAAATAATTTTTTTTTTTTAATTTAAGTTTTTCTTTTCTTAGCTTTGATGCAATATCATCAAAAAAGGACTAAGGTATTTTTTTAATATTTTTTTTTAAAAGTTAATTTACTTGATTTTTCTAGCTTAATATTATTTTACTTAAAATACAATTGCATTAAAAAAAATCCAATCATGAAATGTTGATTGTTTGAATATATTAGACTTACTGTATACTGGAAGTAAGTTGTTTTGTTGTTTTTTTTTGTAACTATTAAACATTTTATGTTATAATCTTGTAATTTTACAGTGGGATCTCGAAGTTTGTCTGTGACTGGTCCATGGGGATAGGTTGATGTTACATACTGTTATTAGTTATAGTTATAAGGTTTGATAAATTTATTCTGTATTAATATTTGGCTCATTAGATGAACAATACGTAACAAAGGAGGGAAAACCAGTATACAATAAGATATTCTATTATTGATCCAAATAAATAGAAATGTTATTTGATCACATTGTACATATTCGTTTTCAGCACTTAAATAACTATATATTTACTTGGCAGTGAACCGAAATAAGGTTAAAAAATCTATATATAGTGCTATAACAGAAGGTCTCAACACTTGATTAACTTGATTTAAAACTAACAAAGGTCTCAAATTTGATAGCCCTTCAAACGTGTCTTTGGCTGAAGGAAAGCTATTTGTTACTCGTTCTAGAGCTTCTCCAAACACAGTAGATAATATCAGTGCGTCCTCTAGCTGAAAAAAGTCTATTTATTACTCGTTCTAGAGCTTCTCCAAACACAGTAGATAATATCAGTGCGTCCTCTAGCTGAAGAAAGTCTATTTACTACTTGCTCTAGAAATTCTCCAAACATAGTAGTTAATATCAGTGCATCTTTATTTGACATGTTTTATTTCCATCTCAGCTTCTGCTCTGTTTTGATTAACAGCTAAATGCATGCTTAGCCAGCTTAATTTTTGATCAAATGATTCCAAAATCTATTCGGTCAAAAGTCTGACATTTCTTTTGTCAGCCTTGCTTTGTATTCGTTTTTGAACAGTCACTTCAACTCACTTAAAATGGCTATCTAAATATTCTAATTCAATATTCAAAAGACCAGGAAATATTAAAAGCCAAATATAATATAATTTTTTATCTATGTTAAACCCGTCAAAATTATTTGTTTGTTTCGTTTTCATACTCACTTTTATTAAAAAAAAACTTTGATCATATTCTAAAAACTAATTTTCTTTATTAATACGCCTACTTCTAACGTTAGTAGCGATGAAGCATTCAAGATACTTCCAACTAAAGACTGAATTTCGGTTTCGGCGCTGAAAGTGGCCATTTCATCACTTTCGGCCAAGTTTCGGTTTCGGATGAAACAAACAAACTCAGCGATCTTTATGAACAAACTAGCCTATCTTTAAGAACAAATAAAGCGATCATTAACAAAAAACTGAACGATCTTTTACAAAAAACTAAGCGATCTGTAACAACAAGATGTTATATTAGATGTTTATTTATTAATATTCACGATTATCTCATTTTTTAAATAAAAAGAATGTAAATATTTATACTTTCCCCCATCATTTTTGATGCATGCAGAATGTATGCGGGAACGAATGTCAAAATATCTAAATATTTCATTTTCGGCTTCTGTTTCGGCCGAAAGTTATTTTAAACTTTCGACCTATTTTTGGCTTCGGTCGGTCTCTACTTCTAACTTTAGCAGAGATACGAGCGGAACCCTCTCAGGACAGTATCGGTGAAGCCGAACGTTTTTTGCAGACGTTGGAGAAGTATGCCTTGGTCAAGCATATCGAACGCTGCCGATGGATCCAGTAACGACAAAAGAGATACCTTGCCATCACCACAAGACAACAGATGGTCATTTACGACGCGCAACAGGGCTGTCTCAGTAAAGTGATGCGCCCTGTATGCTGACTGGAGTTATTTAAAGGTGATCCAGGAGCTGGCGGAGAACGACTTTCTCTAAAAATTTTAATACAAATGGTATAGATTAGAGACGGGGCGATAATTTGCCTACACATTTAGGTTGAGATTCACCTTCTTTGGCAGTGAAGTTACAACCGCCTCTTTAAAAAGGATGAAACAATACCAGTTTTCAAAGAATGATTTATGATACTAGTTAAGATAGTGACTATATCATCCAAACATTCGTACAACAGCCCTGCCGGAAAAGAGTCAAACAAACATGACTTTTTCGGGGAGTCAACCAGGATTTTCTTCACATGCGATTCATTCACTGACCTCCAAAACTTCGCTCAGAGGTGTGCCGTTAAACGGTAAAAATTCGGGAGCATCGGTGCAAATGTCAAGTCTCGCCCTGATCTTCGTCACTTTCGTAATAAAGAACTCATTTAGAGCGTCTGGCAGCTCGCCTACGGCAATGTTATTTGGCAAAGATTTGTCCTTCTGTTTACCGGTAAGCTGACCCACAATAAGAAATAAGTCCCTACTTGAGCTACAATCTACAACATGGTGTTTTAAGCTGCCTCTATTCAAGCTGCTTCTTACATTAGAGATGAAGCATTAAGGTGCCTCTATTCAAGCTGCTTCTTACATTAGAGATGAAGCATTAAGCTGCCTCTATTCAAGATGCTTCTAACATTAGAGATGAAGCATTAAGCTGCCTCTATTCAAGATGCTTCTAAAAGTAGTAAAGATGAAGCATTAAGCTGCCTCTATTCAAGCTGCTTCTTAAATTAGTAGAGATTTCTTTAAGAGCTCATTGCAACGTACGCAAGACAGGGGGGGGGGGGGTAGGGGGGGCGCGTCAAAATAGTATTCGTGCAACGGGGGGAGGTGTTAGGAAATTTGACGGTAGTTAGGTGGTGTTAGGAAATTTGACTCTAGTTGTGCTTACATGTCATATAAATTGCATCTCATCATTTTTGTTTGTGTCGGTGGTGTATGACGTAATTTTGTGACATAATTATTTCTTACGACTGACCGTTAGCATTGATATCTATAGCAGATACAAGTCAGAAACATGTCTGCAAAAACAAAGTGCCAGCAGTTTGCAGTTAACGTCAGTCCATGGGCGCCCGCAGGTAGGGGCAAGGGGGGGGGCACTTGGGGCACTTGCCCCCCCCCCCCTGGATTGATTGGATAAAAAATTTTTAGACAAAAATAGACCCAAAATTTATTAAAGTAAAGAGAAAATAAAGAGAAAGTAACTAAGCTGATGTCCTGTCCGTTTCGTTCACCATACAAATACGCTACAGTAAATTAAAACTATATTAAAACATTACTAAAAAATGTTTGCCCCCCCCCCCGGAAAGTTAATCGATTTTTTTGCCCCCCTCCCTAAAAAGTTTTCTGCCCATGCGTCAGTCATCTAGTTTTACCCGTTCAGGCACTCGACTCAAAAACTCGTTAAGAACAGACTACCCCCCCCCGGAAAGTTAATCGATTTTTTTGCCCCCCTCCCTAAAAAGTTTTCTGCCCATGCGTCAGTCATCTAGTTTTACCCGTTCAGTTCCCTTTTTTGAGGTCAGCTTAACTCGACCCCACTAGACACGCATTGCGAGTAATCGTTGAGTACATTATAGATACGGTAGGTTGATTTATTGACTGATAATATACTGTATTGTACGATTTCGAGACGATATTGTACGATAACAGGTCTCGTTAAAACTATGGCGCAACATGCAAAATATCCGTGACTATGTGTTGCCACGGATAAGCTGCATGTCATTTATCAGCCTTTTCACCAGTTGTATCGAAATAGGATGGTGGGGGGAATACAAAGCAACACTTCTATTTTAAGCCTAACTATTATTTGTCAATGTACACTATCCTTATTACACTAGTCCTACATAAATATGTATCTTATATATATTGCATCATTCTACCTCTGTTAATCATTAACATCCTTTCATTACCCAGAAAATACCTTTCTCTCTCAGATGATGATATTGTGTTACACATTAATTATTTAGTACGCTATGCAAAATATCTCTAATATTATGTGTCGGGCCTATTAAAATATTTAGCTATAATCGTGCATTATTTCTTTAAAGTCTATCGCTTTTTTTCTCCATGTGTGCTTATGTGATGCCCCTTTTCTCCTGGCAGCCTAAGCACATACTTGTATTGCAGAACTCATCTTAGTCGAATCTCACCGACCAGTCTAATTCTGATTTTTTAAAATGTTTCTATATATTTTTTTATGATGATTATAATGATAAGAACCGCTTTAAACTCTGAATAAAAGTTTTTATTTTATAGCTTTTTATGAGACAAACATGGCAAAGAGTGCGGCTTTGAGAAAAGTTTTTAAAAGTAAGTTGGCGAGTAAAGCACAACCATAATTGTAGCAAACTGATACAGTATCAAAGGATCGATAATTAAATTTGCCACTTGTGTTTACGAGTGAGGTAAATTCCGAGCCTGTCAGGTTGATCACTTTCTAAATCTTCTTCTTACGCCTTTTTACAAAGTCTGGGTCTCTACATTTTTTAGACTTCAAAACACAGACAGTCACTTTTCAGCTTTTTGCTGACCTTTTCTCCTTTAATGTGCAAGATGCTCCGCGCGGGGAGGTGAATGGAAAAACAGACAAGCATAGACATTTTATTGCATTCCCCTCCACCTTCCCTGAAATTTGTAGAGTGTTCAAGAGGAAAATTCGACTTTTTGGGAGTACCTATCTGTGTTAAAAGCTCTTTTCCACTATGCACTTTAACAAGTCAAAGTTCAGGACCAATCTTACTGATGAGGATCTTCAAGCTATACTGAAAGTTTTAGTTGCTTCCTCACTCAAGGCAAAGTTGCTCAGCTGTGTAAAAAGAAGCCCTGCCAGGTCTCTGGCAACAGTGTGTAGGCGGAAGAAAGTTTGTTCCTAAAGATAATTGATTTTGTTCTTAAATATTGCTTAGTTGTTCTTAAAGATCATTCAGTTTGTTCTTAAAGATCATTTAGTTTGTTTATATAGATCTTTTAGTTTGTTATTAAAAATCATTTAGTTTGTTCTTAAAGATCGCTTATTTTGTTGTTGAAGATCGCTTAGTTTTTTTCATATAGATTGCTTAGTTTGTTCTTAGAGATCTTTTAGTTTGTTCCTAAAGAACATTTAGTTTTCTGTTAAAGATCGCATGGTTTATTCTTAGAAATCATTTAGTTTACTATTAAAGATCATTTGTTTAGTTATTAATGATCGCTTAAATTGTTCTTAAAGATTGCTAAGTTTGTTTTAAAGATCGTTTAGTTTTTTCTTAAATGCCGCTTAGTTTGTTGTTAAAGATCGTTTAGTTTATTCTTAAAGATCGCTTAATTTGTTCTTAAATGTTTGTTACGCACTGACTTGTATTGGGAGAAATTAATCTCCTATTTTAATTTTAATTGGCTCGTTGTAAGCAGTGCCTAACAAAGGACGATACCATAGAATCAACAATATTAAAGATACGACCCAAAACAGTTTCTAGTTACAATTAATTAAGATTTATTATGTCTTAAGATAATTACAAAAGAAAAGAAAAATATAATTACAATCTTCAACTTACAGTATGGTAGATCTTGTACCGGTACACAGTTAACACAGTTAGAATAATGTGCCAACAAATAATGCAAAATAAACACATATAAGCTCACAAATACACAAAGAATAAAACACGCCTCGTAATGTTAAGAAACTTTATCTGAAAATCTCCCTCCTTCCGAGCCTGTCAATCCCTTATATAGGTGGGTCTACCGACCCCTAAGCCCTGCCTTTGATAAGCTACATGACATTTCTAGAAAAATCCCATTTATTCTACAAAACACTACTTGGAACAGATTAATTATTTTTAGTAGCTGGCGGTGTAAACAAGAATACATCAAAAGCCTAAGCCACACCCCTTTGTGAACACAGCGTCTCATGCGGGGTCAATCAGAGGGCAAATATTATGTAAACAAGCTCTCTATAACAATGTCGCTTAGTTTTTTGTTAAATGTCGCTTTCGCTGAGTATTAGATGACCTAAAACCTGAGTCACTTTCGGCCAGATGACCGAAAGTCTAAGTCAATTTCGGCCGAAACCGAAAAAAACGAAAGTTAACTTTTCTCTTTCGGCCAAAACCGAAATTAAGTCAAAAGTTAACTTTTAAGTTTCGGCCTAAACCGAAACAAGGCCGAAAGTGATAAAATGGCCACTTACGGCACCGAAGCCGAAGCCGAAATTCGGTCGGTCTCTATATAAAGGTACTGCATGTGATGGACGTATATATTCATTAGTGTACATTACATAGTGTAAAGGTATTGTATGTGATGGGCGTCCGGAACCTTACGTTGGGTTTATCAGGAATTCCGGGTGAAACATTTGAGAACAATGAAGTAGAAGTAGAAAAGTACCAGAAGTGTTTTGCGAGTAATTTATTAATACTTTCTGAGTCTGAGATTGAACATGTCCCTTTTTCAATGTTCATTAACTCCAGGAAAACACTCAACATCTATTATTTTAAAACTAGGAATTGCATTTTTATCACACTTTTAAATGTATTGATGAAATATAAATAAGCCAATCAATAGCAC